CTCCCCCCCCCCCCCCCCCCCCCGCCCCTTCCATCTGCTGCTTCCCCTCCCCCCCCACCCACCCACTGGCACTGGACTGAGCTTCAGCAGGTGTCTAGGCTGCTCCTACCCCACCCCACCTCCATACACCTGTGTCCCCTGCACCTGTGTCCCTTCTCTGATGTCATAGAACCCTGGCTGGGAGCCAAGTACGCACACCTGGGGATGCTCCCAGGCAGTGGATTAACTACCTCATACCAGACTCTCAAGAGACTGACCTGAGAAATAAAGACCCCTCCTCCCTAAGGCTGCAGAGACTGTAAGTGGCTTTGGGAATGGGGGGGGTTGCACATTCAAGGAACTGATATCAAGTGCTGATGCCACGTCCACAGAGCCCATCTGAATCAGTCAAAAACACTGATATCTGGAGTGAGGTAGGACACGAGAATGGCAGTCGATCGGAATCCCAGTTTCTCTATTCATGGACTGTGCATTCTGGGACAAGTCGCTCTGTTTCTTCCAGTCTTATATGCTGGGGAAGCTAGGACATACATGGCAGAGCTGTTGTGAGGCTAGAAAAACGGCAGTAACCTTCCGTCTCTCCAAGGTTGTGACTCCAACCCATCTTGGCCAATCATCTCCAGTGAGAGAAGAAAACCTGGACAAGGCTTGTGCCTGTTGATCTCCCAGCCCACGAGCACCTAGGAGGTGGCCCCTGAAGCCCCAGGTACTGAAAGAACTGTCTCTATTCTGTCCTCAGGGCTGAGTGGTATGGGAGGAGGGCCAGCTCCAGGGAAGGAGGACAAAGTGCTGGGGGTGTGGCTGCCCAGAAGATCTGCCCCCACTGTTGGTCATTGTTGTCCAAAACTGGGCAGCCCTGAACAAAGTGCATGTTTACACACATGATCTCACGGAAAGTCACAAAACCGCAAGTGAGGCGTGACCGGCTTCCTTTCACTGTCAAAAAAATTCAAGCCCAAAGAGTTTAAAACAACTACAAAAAGTCACACAGAGCCAGAGCCAGGACTTGAACCTGAGTTTGCCTCATCAGCGCAAGGCTTTTAACTCCACCCATGCTGTCTCCCTCATGGCCTCTCCCAAGCCCCCAGGGCATTCTCAGGGAGCAGCCAGGGCAGGCCCACCTGCTCTGTGAGGTCATCCCAGCCTTCTCGGTGTGGGGCAAGCAGGCCTGCCCCACCCCACCTGCTGGGCCTCAGTGGAGGGGGCACAGGAGCACAGGAAGAGGCGCAGATGATGCACAGAACTGGGTTGGGACAAGGAGGACAGCAGGCCTGGGGAAGGGGCAGATGCAAGAAAGAGGCTTACACAGTTGGCCCTTTAGCTGGCAGGTTAGCTGTGCCATCCTCTGTACATTTCCTTGATCAAAATGGAGTGCTGAGGGCCGGAAATCAGGACAAAAGCACCACCCACGGCTCTGGTCTTGATGACTCAGATTCCACCTCCCACAGCCTCCTCCCGTGTGTGTGCCGGCGTGTGCGCCCCGCCAGCGCGTGAGGCTGTCAGCTGTGGGTGAGTGTGTGTGCGCGCGCACCAGGATGAGCACACATGTGCACATGCCTGAGCTATGTCCATCTGCAGATCTGTGTCCAGGCCCCAGCCCTCAGCACACGATGACCGAGAAGGTCAGTGAGGATCATAGCACTAATGGCCACGCTTCCTTGTTGAAGCACTGTGTAAGCACTGTGTGTGCTTTATCGCGTGGAATCTTTGCAACACCTTTGGAATGAGTATTATCACAAATTTCAACTCAGAGAAGTTAAACTTCTTTTCCACAAACAGCCAGGACATGATGGAGTTATCAGATGCCAAAATCTATGCCCAGTAAACGTGCTCGCTTCCTTCCCCACTCTAAAGAGTTAGGAGCGTCCTTTGTAGTCAGAAGCCAGCCAGGGTCCCTGAAGGAAAGGAGTCCAGGAGCCAGAGCCCTGGAGAAGGAAGAGAAGGGGGCAAATACAGATAGACGCGTTAGCAAGAGGGGGCAGGGCAGCTGTCTCAGAACAGGTGTCAGAGAAGCTGTGACAGCCACTTAGAACCACAGTGGCAAGCCTCCTTTACATGGCGATTTGCATATATTTGCATGCATTTGCATCACCAAATCTGTGGAATCGGCCCTGTGTAATGGTCGCTGCCTCGGAAGACTGGCAGAAGCTGAAAGGGTGGGAGTGACAGGGAGGGCCTGGGGAATTCAGGAAGGGAAGGAGGGAAGAGGCAGTGTTGTGAGCCCAGGCAGGCGCTGGGCACCAACCAGAGACAGTTTCTAGAGGAAAAGAACGGAGGCTCTCTCCTAAGTCCGTTGGAAGCCTCCTCGCCCAGCGCGTCCATCACCTGGGAGAAATAAGAAAGGGGGCTGGGAACACAGAGTTCAACTGGGCTGAGAACCCAAGCGATGGCCAAGCCGGACGCCTCTCCGAGGCTGGGCCGCCTACTCAGCCTCCAGAGGTCAGTAGCTCGGTGTTGGGGCGTCATCTCGTGGACACATGAGGAAACGCACCCTCTTCCTAATGGCTGTGGCCGCAGCCCCTCCCCGTGGCTGCCCAATACTCGTGTTGGCTTCTCCGGCGGCCAGCAGGTGTCAGGTGGAACCCGGTCTGACATCCGGTCTGAGCGGGCCCGGGGACTCCAGACCTTCAGGAGCTGTCCACGGGCTCGGGCCGGGCTAAGGTGAAGGGAGTAATGCAAAATGGTGGTGAAGAGTCAGAAAAACATGGCTGTGCCAGTCCCAGCAGGGTGACCTTGACAAACTGACCTTCAAATCTGTTTCCACGTCTATAAAATGGAGGCGATCCAATTTACATGTGAGAATGACAGAAAACAATATATGTTGCACACTTATTGTCAGGATCAGGACTAAAATGATGTGAATTTTCCTCAGGCACAAAATTTAAGGACCTTGCACTTGTACAATCTTGCGCTCTCTTTGAGATTTGTGTCTGGGTCCTGTCCAGGACGTTAGCACCATGCCTGGCACACAAGGAGCACCATGTCAGCAGGACCTGTTGTTATCACAGTAGGTACTCAGGCCTTGGGAAGGCAGCACCCTAGCCCCACTCCCATCTGGCAAGGGTGTGAAAGGAGATCAGAGGCTAGACAGGAGGGGCCCCTTCCCAGAGTCAGGAATAAAGAGGAAGTCACAGTCAGACAGAAGTGCAAGGGCCAGGTTGGATGACTTTATGGAACCTCTCAGACTCCCTGTGACCAGCTGATAGTTAAGAAAAGGACTTGGGTCCGGCTTGCACAAGGTCAGTGTGATAGGTTAGTGAGAGCTGGAAGTGGACTGCTCGGCAGTCCTAAAGGGTAGCGATAAGGAGTGTGTGCGCAAAGTTCAAAGCAGTCCACCGTGGCATCAGCTTTGTCTCAACAAGAAAGTAGCCCAAAGTGTACCAGGAAAAGGACGAAGTGAACCGGGAAGGAGGTAGATGGATGACTTCTGGGAGAGGGCACCGAGCATGCAAACTTCTGGGTCTCAAGTAAACACCTGGCAGAGCACCCACTGCCAGGACGGAGGTTCTCAACAAGCTGGCAAAATGGTGCAGCTAGTGAGTCTTCCTCCAAATGCCTGCACAATGGCCTTTGGAAGCAGTGGTCATGGTGCCAGGCGTGGAGGCTCTGCACATGCCCAATAGCACTGGCTCCCTCTACTCTGGACTGAGCTAGTTCTACTACTCCGACTGCTCAAGCTGCCAGCAGGTGAGACAGATGCTGTGTCCTCACTGTGGCTGTCTTCCTCAGAAGACCATGCAAGATCCTGGTGGCAGGTAGGTTACCCTGAGCCTTGCAGGGAAGAGTGAATTGTCCTCAATAAATCAATGCTTTTCCAGATGTGGGCTCATCTGCTCTGCCTTGTCCACAACGCTCCCCCAAAAGGTACAGTAATGGAATCATCTAAAACTTCCATAGTTTCAACTCTCATATTCAGGTCTTTGATCTATTTTAACCTTTGGTTGTAAGGTAATACGATGGTGATCAATGGACTCATCGGTCTAACTTGGTCATCGCTCATCCCCAGAAGCAGTGTGGTAGAACAGTAGGGCAGCCTGTTGAGTGCTGAGTGAAGATGCTGGCAAGAAAATGGTTCCTGGGATGGGGATTTAAATCAGTGGTTCTGCTGCCTACCTTGCAAGTGCAAGGTCCCGAGTTTGATACCCAGTGCCAAAAAAGAAAAAGAAAAAGAAAAAAAAAAAAAAAAGAATATGGTTCCTGTGGGTTGAGGCCCTGAACTCTGTGTTCTGCTGTTGGTTTTGAACTGTGTCTCCTTTGCACAGAAACTGTAGTTCTCAGAGTCAAATGTGAAAGCAGAAATAGCTCATCTCATGCTCTTTACCCCAAAACTTCCAGGTCTGCCTGTTTCAGGTTCTAGTTTCCAGGGAAGTAGACTTTATACCAGAGAACACAGTGCACTTTCTACTAACCTGGAGGATAGCAGTGCCACCTGGTCACCTTAAGCTCCTCATGCCAGTGGATCAATAGACAAAGAAGGATATTAATGTACTGGTAAGGGACATTGATGTGATGGCCAGGATGAATCTAGTCAGTGGATACAATGTATGTAGATACAATGAGGCTGGGGAGGGCTGTGTCTGGACTCAGCCAGGGGATTCGCTGGGGTATCAGTTACTACCAAGTAACTGATGAGACAACCTCAGCAATGACCGTTCTAAAAAGGCAGAGCAGCTAAGAAAGCAGACCTCTCAGGAATAAAAGTCTGTGTCACCTCATGGGGCGAGTAGCCCAGATCTGCAAAGGGCTGACTGAGGGTAAGGGAATGAGGGAGATGATATCAATGATGGGCTCAGGGCAAGCGACAGCGGTGGGACTGTGGCTTGCTTCATTGCCCTCTAGCACTAGACAGGGGCTGTGCTGTCACAGATCTTTCTTTGAGATCACATTTGGCCCAATCTTGAGGGTGATCTGTTTATAGGGAACTATATCTCCCCACTTGGAGAAAGGGGGATGATAACTTTGTTATCACGGGGGGAAGAAAAAAAAAGAAGGTTGAACCGTAGTACAGACATCAGATATAGCAGGAGGGCACAGGAGGCACTAGACAGACTGTGATGTCACAAATCTTCTCAGATGCCTCGACTGTCTCCTCAGTCTCTCTGAGGCTGCTCCTCCACTTTCAGGCTTAGCTGAAATGCCACGTAGCATACAGGGGAATCTGGTTTTCAAGTGCCACCAAGGGCTGGACCATGGAACCCAGATGTCTACTCTTTGGGGTGAAACTTGACCCATAAAAACCAGTTAGTGAGTGGAAGCAGTGGACCACCCAAAGGTGTGCCTCTTCCTTGCCTCCTGGAGAAGTCCCACACCAATGCTGAGGGATACACCTGCTAAGGCTCCTGTACTAGCCCTCTGAGGCTTATGTGGAGCAGGGTAGGACAGTGCCACGTGGCACTATGTTGTCTTGCAACTCTCCTTTTCCTTACCCTCAGCTCCGTTGGCTTCCACCTGAATCCTGGCCACAGGCTCTGCTGTTAGAAGGCCTAAAACAGGAGAACGTTTCCTGAGGTTTATCTCCCTGCCTGCATCCCATGCTGTGGTCTCTTCAGGAAATTGAGTCTGACTGTTCCAGCATCTCTGAAGGAGCAAAGAAATAGAAGTCCTAGTGGGCAGGAGCCGACCAGCTCTATTCCAGGAGGAGGAGAAAGTGGGTGGACACAGAGGAGGGAGGACAGGGCTAGCAAAGGTAGGAAGTGGGTACGGAGGTTAGAGGGTAGGAAGTTAAGTTGCAGTAAAAGTTGTCCCCTGTAAATGGGTCAATGCAGGGCATTTCCTAGGTAGGAGTGATGTATTTTGGAGGTGAGGAGGGAGGACAATATTCCCTCCTCCTTTTGAGAGAACATCATCATCCATTTTCTGCTGGGGATGGTTTCTCCAAGTCCCCTCAAGCCTATATTCCTGGCTGGGCCACTGTTTGACCCCCAGTTGCTGCACCATGACCATATTATGAACAAGCCAATGGTGCTGGGGCAGGAGGTGGCAGTGCCAGTCAGGAGGTCCAGAGTGGCACGGCAGCACCTGGCCCCTTCTTCAAAGCCAAAAGGAACTGGGCTGGAGCTGAGGAAACCCTTCCTAGCCTAGGGCTCTGCTATGGTCTAATGTTTGTGCCACCTCCAAAATTCATGTTGAAACTTAAATCTCCACTGTAGTCATATGAGGAAGTGGGGCCTTTACGAGGTGGTTAGGAATGGGTTAATGTCTCCTAAAGGGCTTGTGGGCTTGAGTTTGCCCCTTCTGTCACTTCCTCCATGTGAGGCTCCCTAGAGGTCACAGCTGTCACCCTGGAAGCAGAGGGAAATAACTGCTGGACACTGAACCTGCCAAGGTTTTGATCTTATCTTGGACTGTGAGAAAGATAGCACCATTGTTTATAAATTACTGAGTGTGAGGGATTTTGTTATAGCAACACAATCAGACTAAAAGCGTTCTCCACCCTTGGGCAACTTCCAATTCCCTGGCTTATGATTCTATCACCAGAGCACATCATCATCATACACAGTGGTGTTCTGTGCTCCAAGAGGGTCTCGCACAGTGGCAGTCTTGAGACTGAGCAGAGAGACCAAATGTCCCTAATAAGGTTCCTGCACCCACCAGAGCTTTCATTCCTTTGCCTTTGGATTCGGGATGTGGGGGATCACCAGGCCAGGGCAGAAGTTCTGGCTTACAACTCCTTCCTGGAGTCACCCTTGTCATTCTTCCGCCTCTAGGCAAAGCGCACTTCCTCATTTTCAAGGTAGAAAGAAAGGAAGAGGAGATGAGGGGCCTGAGCTCTAAGAAGCCTAGGAAGTCTGGAGAGAGCTGGGCCTGCCCAGGATACCGAAATGGGATTAAGGGATTTTGACTAGATCAGGCGCATTCAGTGGCCATGAAGTGACTGTCTTTGATAGAACTGGGTGCACGGTGTTTTCCTAGGGAGGGGTTTGTGTCTGTCATCAGACTCTCAGAAAGATTTAAGATCAGCCTGTGATACAGCAGCCAGGAGCCACATGTGGCTCTTCAATTACAACTGAACAAAATGAAAAGGTCAGTGTTCTGGCTCACGTTTCAATGTCCCAGGGACCACATGTGGCTACTGGTTAGCATACTGGACAGCACAGATGTGGAATATGACCGTCATTGCTCTGTTGGACAGCACTGCCCATTAGCCTTATGCATAGAAAAACTGTGACCCAAAGAGGGAATGATTTGCCCAAGACCCCAAGGGGATTTAATGGTAGCTGTAGTATTAGCTGCCCTTTATAAATGTCTTGTAGTAAAACTGCATTAAAATATCTTCTTATAAATGCAGTTCTCAACAGCCCAGGGTGGCAGGAGACAGGGCCCACTTGTGACTGTGGGGATGGGGAATTGAAGTGCTGTGTTGGCTCCTCCTCCACCCCAGGCTGCCTCAGTCCCGCAAGATAAAGGAGTTTTAGAGACCTGGCCCTCTCCCCTCCCCCATGATGACCTCAGCCTCACAAAAATGCGAGGGCAGCGGGGAGGGGCTGGGTGGACCACAGCTGATGTGTGTGTTGGGGTAGGGGCAGCCCTCGGGCCATAGGAATTGGGGTTGAGGAAAGTGTATTGATCCTAAATAATCTCTATGCCTCCATTCTCTTAAAATTCAAACCTGAATCTCAATCAACAGCTAAAGGGCCTGTATCGCCTGGTCCCTGAAGTCTCTTCATTCCCAGCTGGCTCCAAGCCTTGAGTCTCTTTGCTACTTCCTGGCCTTTGCACTCAACTTTCCCTTGTCTGGAACACCATCCCCGTCCTGCTTCACCTCCCCCATCTTTCTGAACTGCAGCAGCGCTTTGTAGAGAAGCCTTCCCAGACCTGAGGCTGAGTCAGGTGCCTCTGTTACATGTTCCTATTTGAGGGCTCTTTGCTAAATGCCCCCCTTCCCTAGCAGGTCATGCTTCCCAGAGCCTGTTGGGAAAGCCAATATGTCTCCAAACCTTTGAGCACAGTTGGCCCAGAAGGGATGCTCAATAAAAACTGAGAAAAATTAACTGATTGCGTGAGAGTGCTCCTTCCTGCATGACACAGGTCCCTCAGGGCCCCTGCTCCCCACTGGTGCATCTCAGTGGCTCATGGCTGTGCCCTCTTCCATCCAGAGGGTGGTGACAGGGGAAGGTGTGTAGCCTGGAGGCCACTGGAGACCAATGGAGGTGATGGGAGCTGCAAGAGTGACAGGAAATTGTATACGAATAACAAAAGCGGTGGAAGTAATAGGATGACAAAGAGGAGTCTTGGGAGATGGTAAAAATATAACAAGGAGTGCAACGTGGTCTAACTGCGTAATAAGATGCCATGAGCTAGATGTGGGGGCACATGCCTGTATTCCTAGCTATTGGGGAGGCTGAGGCAGGGGAGTTGTAAATTTGAGCCTAGCCCAGGCAACCTAGAGAAGGCCCTGTCTCAAAATTTTTAAAAAAAGAAAAGAAAAGAAAAAGAGCTGGAGAGGTAGCTCAGGGCTCCCTGGGTTTGATCTCAGTAATGCAAAACAAATAAATAAAAAGATACCATGACTGCCTGGCATGGTGCATGCCTGTGATCCCAGCACTCGAGAGGCTGAGGCAGGAGGATCGCTGTGAGTTCAAGACCAGCCTGAGTTACATAGTGAGTTCCAGGTCAGTTTCAACTACACAGTGAGACCCTGTCTCAAAAAAACAAAAAACAAAACAAAACGAAACAAAACAAAAAAAAAGATACCATGACTGATTGAAAACAGGCACTAGGATATGCCAGGGTGATGCGTAGTAGGCAAGCTGGATACATTCCAGAGTTGCCATGGAAGTGACTGGCAAAAATAGTAACAAGGAATGGGAACTCTTACTGAGCACTTACTTTTGTCACCCCTTTCCACGTATTACCCATATATTTCCGTGGATTAATCTTCACAACAATTCCGTCAGCATTTCCAATTTGCAGTAAAGGAAACTGAGGTGCAGGCCTAGGTACCCTGTTCAGGTCTCACAGCAGTTGAAAGCAGAGTTAGGGTTTTACCGCAGAGTTGATCTCTCTGTCTCTCTTTCCCTTCCTTCCTCCCTTTCACTCTTTTCCTCTATTCCCCCCCTACACCCCTTTTTTTTTCTTTTCTTTTCTTGTACGGTGGGGGGCGGAATCTAGCCCAGAAACACTCACCCATGGCCTTTGTTGTTTGTTTTGTCTGGGTTTGGTTTGGTTTCTCTTTAATACAGGATCTTGTTACTAGTCAGGACTGGAACTTTTGATCCTCCTGAGTAGAAAGTATTACTGTCATGAACCACAACCTCCACCTTCAAAACTTTACACTGGATTACTATATACTGTCCCCTTTTGGTGAGCAAGGTAGCTTCCCATGTGTCTGTGCCTCAGTAGGCTACTGTCTGGATGGGAAGCAAAGACAGGCATGGAAGGAAGAGTTGGAGAATTCCCTTTGACGAGTTCTGACCCTTCCTCTGCTCACTAGTGTCCCTTTTGGCCCATGTTCTAGGGTTAAGACTTAAGATAGACTAATCTCATGTTCCCTCATTCATGCCTACAAAATGCCAAAGAGGCCAAATCAAACCACACAATAAAGAGCATGGGAGAAAGACCGGGCTGGTTCCAGGAAAAGCTTTGGTGAGACATTGCCAGATGACTGAAGTTTGTGAGTAACATAAAAGTTATGAGATCCTTGGAGAGATGAAACTTTGGGAACCTGTTTATCATTTTTGGTTCCTGCACTGTACCTTATTTTCCTATTGCAATTTCATCCATACACTGTCCTGTGGGCCTGCAGCTTATATCTGGGTTACACAGAGCTGGCAGATCGGATGGTGAAGGTCAATAATGCAGTCTCTCCAGCCAGGGTGAACTGAGTTGGTGGCTCTCCAGGGCTGCAGTTTGGAGGGAGTCTCATCATCTACTAGGCCTTGAGGGAGCCCTAGAAGGCAGCTCAAAAGGAAAACCAGCTGAGCTTCCCTGATCAGCTGTGGCCATCCCTGCAGTGATGGAGTTCCCTCAGCCAGTCTGACGTTGAAGATACCGCTGCAAGGATAACATTGATGGTGCAGGGTGGTGAGAATGAGGGTCTAAGGAGCAGCAGGGGCCCAACATAGCCTCCAACGGATATTAGTTACCCACCCAGTCTCCTCTCTTCCCTGTGACCTGGTTCATTCCTGCTTCCTCTGCACCTTCTCTAAAGGCCTTCAGCTCTCTCAGGACCTGTTATGACCATTCTCAGATCACTAGCCCTCCCTTGCCCCAAGCATCTTGTGGTCCTACATCCCATAAAAGTGTTCTCCCTCCTCCAGGGAAGGTGCCCTGCACTGCAATTCCCTGGAGAGGAGTGTGGGGAAAGACCCCATGGTACCCATATTCAGAGGTACCAGGGCTTTTGTCCTCCGGAGGAGCCTGGGATGCCTCCACCCCTGTCTTTGCTCTTATTCATTTTTATCTTGACCTGTATTTAACCTTGCAAAGGCTGAGTATAAAAAAAAAATGAAAATGAAAAAGACTTGTGTCTCCCAGGGCAGAGCCTGAAGCCCAGGGACACCCTCTTCCCTCCCTAGTGACCCTAGAATCAAAGAGTTCTTTTTGCCCCACTGCGCCTGAGCTATAGGGATCTCCTTGAATCTGCCCTATTCCCTTGCTGACAGATTATGGGAGCAGAAAGAGAGAGAGGGAGAGAGAGAGACAGACAAGACTGATACAGAGGCACTGAGACAGACAGAAGACAGAACACACAGATTTAGAGGGAAGAAAGACAGAACTGAACTCAGAGGAAAACACAAACAGGAAGAGAGACAGAGAAATAGAGATGGAGAGAAACCCAGAAGGCGGGCCAGGGAGGAAGAGAAAGAAGATACAACCTAAGGACCAAAAGCCTCCACCCACTCCATATCTCTGCTAAGGAAGGAAGTGGGTCTGAAGGAGGAAGCCAGGTCTCCCCATCTGTGGCTTGGCCCTGACCCTTTGGCCCTGCTTTCCCTAACTTGGACCAATGAACTTGGATGGGGAAAACATTATATTATTTTCACTAATCTCTCCTGGGAGTGGGTGGAATTTGATATTTCCTTCAATTATGACAATAGCAACAAACCAGACATATTAGCTATAACGATAGCTTTGTGACCAACAGAAATCATACATATTTTAACATTATAGTGCAGTATTGCACATCTTTTGAAATATCATTTACGCTCATCATTACTTGAAAATTATATGAGGTATCAACCTGACACTAGTTCTTATTTAAAGCACTAATAAAAAACCACATATATTCTATATCGCATTAAAATAGTTTTATAACTTTATTGCAATGTAGTTGGTTTCCTTTATAATCTTATATATTTTATTTTATGCATTTAAAAACATTATTGGGAAACGGTCCGTATGCTTTACCAGGGGAAGCTGTTAGAGCAGGAACTGATGGTTTCCCAGGGACGCAGGTAACTGAAGTTTTGTGAGATGCATTCTCACCACCTCCGCAGTTGCCCATCTAGGAAAAAAGTACAGAATCCTTCTCCCCAAATACCCCTGTCCAGTGCGGTAGACGGCTAGGAGAATTGGCCATTTTCTAACTGCTGGGGCTTAAGCAAGTTATTTAATGTTCCCTATCTCCTTATCTGTAAAATGAAGGTGATACAACTGCCTATCTCATGAAGGTCTTGTGAGGATTTATTGAAGTTTGCAACAGCAATGTTAGCACAGGACCTAGGACATAGGTAGCTCTCGATAACTGGCAGATATTATTATGGACGTTTTACTTACTAGTTATTATCATTCTCTTTCTAGAAAGGAAAGGCCCTGGGGAAGAGGGGCTGTAGGAGGCTGAGGATGACAGTCCTTCCCTGAGCTGAGACATCAGGGCACGCACTTCCCCACACTCCCCTGAGGGGCAGGGGTCTTCCCCTAGCTACTAACAGTTCCTCTGGCTGCTGACTCACAGCCAACTTCCTCTCGTACAAACAGGAAAACACAGCAGGCCAGCACCCCCCCCACACACACAGCTAAACACTGGCCCTGCTCTGAGGGGAAGTGCCTCGGCCCTAGGTGACAGGACCCCTCACAGATGAAATGGGGGAGGGGAAAGGAGTCTTTTCTCTTTAGCTCCCCCTACCCCAGCAACTTGCCTGAGGGCAGGGGCGCTCCTTACTCCTAGTTTGCCTTATTCCCAAATCGGCAACCCCTAACCTTGGTTTGGAAGTGGGACAGTCATTGGTCTTCCTCTCTTGGAAGAAACTTAGGGCAGTTGCAGATGGGCGGGAAGCCGATGAGGAGCCTCTGTGCCTGTTCTCCCCGGGCCAGATCTCAGTGATGCAGAGCCAGGAGAGAGGCTTCGGCGCGGAAGGCTGTGCCTATCTCTCACTTCTGAATGTGCAGCCTCCCCCCGCATCTAACTGGATGCCAGGGTCCAGCCATCCTGCTGGACGCCGGGGAGACGCCCCATTTTACAGGTAAGGAGACAGGACCTGACCCTTCCCCTCCCCTGTGGCAGGAATGGAGGACTTGCAAAGGTCTCTGTGCCCATCTCTGCTCTGGTCCCTACCTTTTTGTCCCTCTCCCTGACGCTGTCCCAGCCCCTGACTGTGTCTGGTCCTTTTCTAGCTCGTTGAGAGGGCAGCGCCTGGCAGCCCCTGAGATAAGTGCGGTGGTTGAGTAAGAAGCCCGAACCTCCCGAAGGCCGGGGCTTGCACAAGCAGGGACCGAGGCCCGGCGGAGGGAGCCGGCCGGGCGGGCTGTTTCCACTGTGATCAAACCTCATTACTTTGTGTGTCCTCTGTTTCAGAAGAACGAACTGGCAAGTGGAGCTGATCACTTCTGTCCTGTCTCTCTCTGGCCCCCGCTTGACACTGTGCAGCACATAAGTGGTGAGCTGGAGGGG